TTTTCTTTTCTTTTTTGACGAAGAAATCTCAAGAAGGATAAGCAAATGAACCAGAAACTTAGTCAATGTCCTTTTCAGCCAAGCGCTGAATTCAAAACTGCTTCAACCAACTTTCGTTTTCGACGGAAATCTAAGACCAATGGGTACTATTCAATCCTTTTGGAAGTCAAGTGAGTGTGATAATTGTGAATAAATGAGAATTATTACTGGTGAAAGATATAAAAGTGTTTTAGAGGCGTGATGAACAGATAAGCAACAGCGACCTCCCGCTGAAATTTCACAATTTCCTTGTTGGCTGAGCTTTCCTACATCAGAGTAAGCTTACATGTAAATCAAGCTAATCTAACCAAGATCTCGAACACTGTTTTCGTTAGGAAAATCGCCTTCCTCTTTTCTTTTATATCGTAATCATGTTTCATAACGCTTAACATCATAGTGCAGGCTTCATAAGATCGCAAATCGAGCTATTTAAAAATCTGCAAGCTTAAAATTCCGACACATACCTCAAAGAATCTTCTACCAGCTTTGTCGAGAACTCCCTCGAAGTGAAGTCGTGTTTCAGTCGCCTCACCAGACATATTTGACCCAACTTCCTTAATCCACGGCTAAGTCATGAAGTCTTTGAGCCTCAGTCTCGAAACTATCCCGATTACATTACGTTTAGCTCGCAGAACTTCCCGAAAGTTAATGACCCGGAACTACTAAATTTGAATATTAATGTTTTCCACTACGGTATTCGGTTGCGCATTTCACTTACCGAGGGTTCACGAAGATTGGGCGACAGTTTCCGAACCCACGTGGCGGAGGCAGTTGACAGAGGCTGCGCACCGTCACCTTTCTGAAGAGTTTACAAAGAGGAGGGAAAATTTAGTTGTTAGAATGGGAGGTTCGGACAGTAAACTAAATTTCAGGAAAGCCGTCGTTCAGCTGACAACAAAAAAGACGGTGAGCAAAGTGATGAAGATGTATTCTCAGCTGTCTTTTTCGAGATCTTTGGCGGAGGGTTTTGTGGGACTGAACCGGTTGTTAGTCAATGTTCACCTGATAAACTCACCGAAGTCAATTTTGTCGATCGTTTCAGGCTGTCGAAGCGACAGATGACACCTTTTGGGATCAGTTTTGGTCTGAGTCGTCGGCGACTATCAGTGACGTTTTTACTTTGATTCCTGCCTCGGAAATCAGAGCTTTACGAGACGAGAATCCCTCAAATTTGGCGACGCTTTGCTACAAGGTGAGTGTATGTCTTGACACTCCTCAAACTCTTCGTGTTATGAGTGAATTTCAAGTTGTCCAAGAAATCGATATGGCCAGTTTTCGTCTTGATTTCCTTGCTTTCTAATTATTTTGATGGCCTTTGTCTTAATTTACAATACAACAGTAAGCGAAGCCATGAGTTTTGTTGGAGCATGACAGACTAGCTTGCAATTACCAATGTTTTATAATTTCATTAACAACAAACACGAATATTTTTGTTCTCTATAGTTTAGACATGATCGCGAAGAGGTCTGTGTTTTCAGTCGACTAAAATTCAACCATGTTTAATTTCTTACCAAGCAAGGAATATTCTTCATAAATCGAGTAAATTATCGAAAGGCCCTAGAAGTGTTTACAAGATATCGAAGGTGACCTTGAGTGTCTAAATCTTCATCTATGATCTTCTGACGTTCATGCTCACAATTTTAGGTTTCAAAATAAACGTTCGAAGCACTTGTCACTAGTGCTATTACTTTAAGCGATAAATTTCTTTCTTCTCGCCTATCGCAGAGGGGAGCAGATATATTTTTTAAGTGATCTTTTGAAGTATACTATGAATTATTTACGCCAACGATTTCGTCTGTTTTATAAAATCTTATTGTCTTTATTTTCCATTTGATTGTATACAATCAAATGCCAAAAGACCCAGGGTACCCATAGAATCATTTCTCTCACATTCCAGTATTTTGCTGCTGTATAAAAATGAAAAACAAAATGATCAGGCAGCATTCATGGTGTAACTTCGTGAGATAAATTAAATTTTTTTCAACTATGTCAAAAAATTGAATAAATTTAGTTATCACTTATTTTGCGGCAAAACTCATGCATAAATTGCGCCTAGAGTCCTTTATGGTTAACCAAACCTCAGGCATAACTTATCATGTCTTTTAAGGACAAAATCTGTCCTTAGTAATCCTCATGCTATTTTCAGGAAGTATTGACAAATATTGTTTACATATTGATGTCATTTTTAATTTGTATAAACAATTTCAAATTACTGTGGCCTAGACTTCCCAATGGTGCTAATAAACAGATGTTGCATGTACATGTAGAAAAAAAGGCATATTTTTAATTTAACATACAAACAACAAGTCTTAAAAGGATTTGTCATGGTGATCATTTGCTAATCAACTAGAGATATATGTCTGTGCTCCAATTTGAAGCAATATATTCATTATGCAGTTAGCTGAGTGAAAAACGTTATTATTGTTTTTGCATTGGTTGTAAGACAACTTTTTTTTTAATGTTACCCTTCACATGTTTATTTCTATGTATAGTGTGTCGAGAAGCTTCATAATGCCACTTTGACTGGTTGTTCCAACCCTTCTGAACAACTTTCTGGTAAGTTTTTATTTTTATTGATTTGTTTCAAATTTCTTGAAAGATAAAATCATAATTATAGCTATAGTTTAATCCCTTGGCCTCTTAGAGGGACTTGATCTAATTTCTCCCCACAATACCAACATCAAATCAAACATGTCATGAGAATAAAGGAAATGATCATCAACTACAGAATTTCTTTGTGGTGAAACTAATTCTCCTTGCTATCACCTAAGGAAATGTATAGAGAACAGTATAGAGAATATGCATACTGATGTCAGGGTGTAAATTGAGGGTTAACAAGGAGTTTTGCTTCTGTTTGGGCGAGTAGGAGATGTAGAGGTCTCTTAACCCATCTCAAAGGGTATAACTCAAATCTAAAGCATTATGATAACCATGGACATTTGATCAAAAACTGCTTAATAATCAAAAAACATTTTGAAATGGGCCAATGGTTGGGACTCTTTTCTCTAAAATTCAAAAGCCTTTTTACTCTGAGTATTTCTGTTGGAAATTATTTTGACACTACCAATTTGAGAGTTGAATGCATTATCATATATTCTACGTTTTTATTGTTCACTCTTCTGTTTTGTTTCAGTCCTGAACTGTGTGCGTCTGTTGACACGGTTTGTGCCGTACATTTTTGAAGATCCAGATTGGAGAGGGTTCTTCTGGTCCACTGTTCCAGGACAGGAAGTATGCTTTTTTTTCCCTTGATACTTTGATTTTGTAAGTAACCCTTAAAGTCTCAGAGGTGATTAACATTAACTTCTCCTCTAAAAATCCATATATTATCCAGCAAACAGGTAATGAGAATAGTGAAACTTATCAGGTAAAAGTTGTTATCTTGATCAAATTCTAGAAACTAATTTACAAGGAAATAATATGTGGTGGCCAGAAAGGAGAATTAACAATCAGATCTTGGGAGTGAAGGGGAGCAAATAAGGTGTTTCATCATATGACTGGCTCTGCTTGTGCAATCTTGTAGAAAACCGTAGTGAAAGCTGACATGTGTATGGTGGACAGGTTGACATGAGCTGGTCTGCAACAAGCCGTCCAGCCATAATGCATTTGTTTGTATGGCTTTATTGCGAAAAAAGAGAAACATTGTTCACTTTTGTTTCAGAAAATGAGTGATAGCAGTGCACAAAAATGAGAAACTAAGACATGTTTTTCAACAAATTATGAGTTTCTTGTTCTGACTGGACAAAATAAAGGAAAGTTTTTATTGTAAAATATTTTTTTTGGTTTTCCCATACTTGCCAGTCTATCATGTCCTGTTTAAGTTAAAACAAACTTTTTGAACTTTTCAAAAGTCAGTCATATGATAAAATGCCTATTGACTGAGTTAGTCAGGCCAGGTGGAAAAATATTTGGGTCTCATTCATGGCACAAAGACCTCACTGTGCCCTCTCTGTACATTATGTCCTCAAGTCAAATATTTTCCTGTCCTGCCCTCTCACTCAGTTTACAAATACATCATGATAATATGCAGAAAATTGTAACTAGGTTTAAAGTAAGGGGCTTTTGATCCAACACCAAAAAAAGTGCTGTATGAATATCCAATAATTATTATAATAAAGTGTATCCTGATATATTTCTCCCACCAGCATCCACAAAAATTAAGAGTCATCAGATGGATGTTACTTGATTTTTGATGACTCTAACAAAACAGTGCTGTCCTTTTTGTAAATTAAAATTTTGCAATTTAAGCAAACCACAGTCCATTGTAAGGGTAAAGTGCTTCAAAAGAGGTTCATATTCAGAGTGAATCTTTGACCATGCCCATGATTACTTACAATCATAGATTATTACCTCTGACTGTGATTATGAAAATCTTGTATGTGAACTGCGGATAAAGATGTGAATATGAACATTCACATTATTACTTCTCAGTGAAAACTTCATAGAAGTGATTGTTAAACAAATTTTTGTTTTGTTTCAGGAGGAGAGTTTTCATGGGGGCGAAGAGGTACAATTACTTTTGCAACCTTAAAAAATTAAATAGAAAACAAAAGTACCTTGAACCTCTTGAAACCTGCAATACAAGAGTGACTATCATCTAATTTATCTTAACAGTATCACTCCTGTATCAAACACAAAGGTCACAAGAATAGATGAAATGATTGTTAAACAAATTCTCCTCACCTTGCAAAATGTAT